TAATCTGGGGTGGCAAGACATAGCCTTACATATTACATGCGACAATATATGGCGCATTGACTTATGGGGCTGGCATAGATTGTTTTTCCAGGGCTGCTTTGTATCCCCAGTCCGGCCCTGTTATAGAAGGCATGAGCTAACTTTAGGTCATTTAACTTTCAATCTGTACATTTACTGGTGGTTTTCTCGGGAGCAATGTATAGATTACATTTTAAAGCTTACCTAGAGAGAACCTTGCAGCCCACGGCAGTTTATTGATTTTATGGCTGACCATTTATCTGCACCAGCCTTTACATATATCATTTCCGAACCCTGTTGTATACACACTATTTTTATTATAATTATTGTTAATTTAGTTAGACTGATAAACCATGGCTATGGTCCTCGCTTGACGTAGCATTGGGCATATTTTTTTTGTTTTTTGTTTTCATTGTTATTTTTATTTTATTTTTTATTTTCATCGTGCTTTTTTGGGGAAACGTGCAGTAAAATTTGTGAGCAATGATTTTCATGCAATCATTGTACATGAACACAAACTATGTACACAATCGAACATGAAGCGTGAGCTAGCACGATCATCTAAATTAATTGCAAAGAAGTTGTTTTTAGCTGTTAAAACGGAAGAAGTGATGTCCGTTTTGGAAGCTCACCCTGGAGGACGGCAGGAGAAGTTGCCAATGATCAATCTGGCATTTTCATTGTTGAACTGGTTAGCCCACAACGCTTTACAATGCTGGGTAAAGAAAGCACGGAATGCTCTCCTGTACGCTCATGTTACATAGAATCCCTTTATTTAATAATATAATTCTGAGTCTTAAAACCAGAAATTAGACTTGCAAACAAAACCAGGAATTAAAGAAACTATCAGACAAATAAACACTGGAAAAGAGATTACTCGGATGAATGCGTCAGTGTAACGCGGCTTCAAAAACCTCCAATTCCACAGAGAAATTCTTGAGTGATAGATGGAGAAATGTCCGCAGAATTGAATTTGCCAGCAAAGCTCATTAATTTCATTATCGTGTTTTTATTTTGTTTTCTTGTTTTTTTTTGTGTTTTTTTTTCTGTGCCTCCCACCCCTCCTTTGTAAAATGTGCATTCAGCACAAACAATGAAAATACTACAGATAATCCTACAAGAAGTAATTAGATTTTGATGTCTTCCCTTTTGTAATTTTGGTCGTTTTGAAAATCCCATTAATACGTTTTTATTATTATTATTTTTTTTTAATTGTCTTAAAAATGTAATGTGTTATTATTTTCTGCTCTTTATACATGTATTACATGTGGAAATGTAATTATGGCTAGCCTGTTTATTTTCATTTTACAGTCCTTTTTTTAAACATTTTTTATTTGTAAGGTTTGTCAGTAAAAAAAAAAAAAAAAAGAAATGCTATAATTTTGTTGTTGCCAAGTGCTTGCTGTGAATGCAGTGCATGGAAGCAGAGCTTGTACAGTATAAATCTATAGATTAGATGGTTGGGGACATTTCAGTATTCTAAATGTCAAATAATCAGAACACAAATCTATAAAATATGTATACAAATGACTGATTCATTTTTGAAAATAATGAAAAACATGTTGTATTGAGCACCAGCTATAGCATCACTTGAGATGTGTGTCTCTGCTATATTGGATTGGTTATTGATATTCTATATATTGGGTTATGCCTGGAATCCACACAGTAGAATTTCTTTATTTATCTTCGTTTAAATGATCATCTCTGGGAAAAAAAACATTGAAAATCACCTATAACTTGTTTTATACCATCCCCCACCTCTCCGTGACATGCTTTTAAATTTTAATATATATGAAAGATTTAGCAAATTTTCCAATCCAATTCAGAAAATGCGAAGTCACGGTAAATGTTACAAATGAAGAGGATAAATAGAAACCTTGTTTAATTCTCTTCTCATCTGTATTCGTGTTCTATATAAAAGCTGTCTGGTACAAATGTCGGAGCTTCCAATTGACAGGGAGCCTGGGCAGGAGATGGAGTCGCCCGGTTGCAGGACAAAGAGTTGTGGATTTTCACAATTACTTTTATTTTTCACACCCCACAAGTGCTCATATGCTAAATATAGGGATACGTTAACAAAGTGCTAAAAATCCTGGGTGGCTCCAGTTTCCCTTTAAGGGAAGGATAATTTAGTGTTGGGTAAAGTAAGGTAGGTAGGTGCCACTAGTTAAAGAGATTGACAAGTCTGACATATCTTGCAATCCTCTGTGAATTTGGAATCTGGACATTGGGGCCTCAACAATAGGAACTGCACAGCCTGTGCTCGTCCCTGGTCTGAATGCTTCAAATCTTTGCTATATAATTTAAAGGGTTACTCCAACCTCCATTCTGCTTTTAGAAGTGGTCATGAAGAAAGGATTCACCATGTGCAGCATTTCTGCTTGAAATGTTGCCTTTACAGAGATGTCTCCTAGTTACATGTGACTTGGTTCAGGGCTTTCTAATGTCACTTCTGTGCAAGAATTATACCCATACGTCATAAGCACATTGTACTCTGGTTACAAATGTCATCACCTTCTTTACTTGCAGGCAGTGCTGTGAGCATGCCTTCAATGTGAAACCATCTCTTCCTCCCTCCCCTTTACATTGCTAAATTGATCCCTTCCTCCGTTCTGCCTCCCTCCACACTTTTGATTGATCCACAGACCATGCGCGATGATGACATAGGACGCATGGGATGGATTGTGGAGGACTTGGCTTGGTGTTAGATTTAAGGTAAGAGGGGCTTTTTTTGTAAAAAATAATTTTTTGTTTTTTAATAAATGCTGGGACAATAAGTGACAAATGCGCAATAGGGCATTATCAACGCAAAAACACAATAAGGCGAAGATTCTCGCCAGATAATGCTGATGGGATCTCCAGCCTGAAATTTGATCCATACCAGTGTATGTTATGTTATTGGAGCTGTCCTTGAACTACAGACATGTCACGTGCATTACTCCTGGGTGGTTTGTTTATTCCTCACTATCGGGTCCTCTACCAAAGGCCTGGGAGTTTGAGGGTTCTGCGCAGTATCTTAGCTGCTCCTAGAACTGCACTCTTCTGGACAGCGATCTCAGATGTCCCACCTGGAATCTGTTGAAGCCACTCCCCCAACTTGGGAGTCACAGCCCCGACTGCTCCTATCACAACTGGGACTACTACTGCCTTCACTTTCCGTTCTTCTTCCAGTCCTTGGTATTTATCTACTTGGTATTTATCCTAGTTCCTTCTTCCTGATATTATAGTCTCTGGGTATTGCCACATCCACCACGATTGCAGTCTTTCGTTCCTTGTCTACCACCACGATGTCTGGTTGGGTGGCCAGTATTTGCTTGTCTGTCCGTATCTTGATGTCCCACCGGATCTTGGCCCTGTCATTCTCAACTACCCTTTGTGGTATCTCTCATCTGGACCAATCCATATTCTGTGCAGATGTTTCGGTACACAATTCCAGCAACTTGGTCGTGTCTCTCCGTGTATGCTGTTCCTGCTAACATCTTGCATCTGGCTACTAGGTGCTGGATTGCCTGAGGTCTCTTTGCACAGTCTGCACCTCGGGTCTTGCCTGGTGTGGTAGACTCCAGCTTCTATTGATCTGGTGCCGAGTGCCTCAGTACTGTCTTTCAGTCCTGCCTTTTTCAACCACAGCTAACATTTTGTCATGTGAGCCACATACACTATCTGCTGGTGGTACACCCCATGGAAAGGTTTGTCTTGCCAAGAAACCTCCTCTTTATATATGTATATGTATATGTACATACCAAATAAGTTGTGATGAGGAAAAAGTGTGGATGAAAACCCCTTCCACTTGAAATAATTGGATAGTTAATACAATGTTAAACACAAATACACAAAGACTTGCTTTTACCACAAATCTCACTGTAACAGTGCTCTCACTACTACTGCAAGGGATTCTGTTGTATGCAGCAGACACATACTCCAAGGAATCAATGTATAAAGTTGAATTAGGAGGCAAAAATGTGGTTCTTTGTTGAGCTCATTTGCATACGCCTACCCAGAATCCCTTGCAGTAGTGAGAGCATTGTTTAAGTGAGATTTCTGTGGGAAAAGCAAGTCTTATGGCTTGTCTAGTGTGTGTATTTGTGTTTAACATTGCATTAACTATCCACTGTTTGTGTGTGTGTATGTAAAAAAAAAAAAAAAAACCCAGATACAATTCTTATCTTGTAATACCCTTTTTGTTGGACTAACATAATTTTTTGTAATGACAAGCTTTCGGGAGAACCTCCCTTTCTCAAGTCTTTATAAAGCATTTCTGAGCAAGACGACACATAGAATTCAAAGATGAGTTGTGATATAGGGGTTAAAGCGACATGACTGCTGACTCCTTCGATCACCAAATCCCGTTACCCTTCCATTCCCAATAAGTAACACAACACCATGTTAATCTGGTAAGGGCAACGGCCACAGCTTTATTTAAACCAGCATAACCAAATACTGTCAGCTGCTGGTTTTACCCAGCAGACAGGTACACTTTACACTTCTTCCAGAGCCTCTTCAGCCTATCCTTCATCATCAACCAAATTCAGGCTGTGACTCCCCAAGCCTGTCCAGGCATTATTCATTTACTAAACTTGCTGGCGCAGGAAACCCGCCACCGCAGACCCTACCCCTACTAGAGGGAGTGGGACGCATCCCCCAAAGCCAGCGCATGTGTCATTATTGGTTTTAACCCCATTTTAAATGTATCCAAACCGACATGAGTACCAAATCAGTATGCATAGCATTATGGTTATCTCTTTCCAGTTCAAGATGAGGAATCTCCAATCCACCCAAGCATTGTACGAATCGTGATATTGTCATGTTGAAGCGACACCTACCTCATTATATCCCTTTTTGCGTAGCGTGCTCTTGACCCAGGTAATAACCACCAGTGTGGATCAGCAGAATCAGCAGTATGACTGGTTCCGTCACATATCGCTGAAGCGATCTCTCCAGATAAAATTGCTGCCAGCGCAACCCCCTGATCCCACACCACCCTGGTCTACCTGACAAGCTGCCCAATAAATAAAAGAATGCCCAAGGATCCAAACATATAGAGAATATCTAGCAATAAAGAAATCAACCGAACATTAACCATACCCAGGCACCTATAAAAGCACCTTTTAAAGGCCGAACATACAATCGAAAACCTGCTCATTCCCACTGACCCAGCAGCCAAATGGAAGAGTCTGACAGACCTAACCTGCTTGCCTGCAGAGTCAGACTGATCCGGAATGAATGAGTTGAATAACCGCTATCATTTTTTTATTTTTGTTTGGGAGTCCACTCCTAACAAGTGCAATACAGTATAATCCACTCCTAACAAGCGCAACACCAACATAAACACTCTAGTGAATGGATAATAACCCATATGCATGCACTGGAATGTATCTCCAAATTATGGACGCTCCAATCGTAATCTCTCTACCACTACCCGCTTGATCAGTATTGGATCGCCAAATTAGAAATTCCACTTCTTTTTGAAACTAAAGAACCTTCTTCCTAAAAAAGGGATGACTGAGCTCTAGAACTCCACCAATCTGCCGACGCATAGAGTTGCATAAAAACACCCAGAAAAGGCTACCCGAAACATAATTGCCTCCAATGGGAAAACATAAATAGCAGGCAGGATCCCACCTATGTCTCCCAGAAAGTGCACAAATACAGGATGCCTAACGACCGCCACCAGTTTGTCTCCAACAGTGCAATACCCGCTGAACCACAAATGCTTTAGTCACATCTTCCCCTCACATGAAGTGCATTAAGATTGAAAGAGCGGACATACCCTGTTCCACTGACATGGATGTCCCTCAATTCTGCAGGTCAGAAAGAAAGGCTAAGTGAATAACAACCTCCTTTCTGAAGAAGACCAACCAAATTGATCCCACACCATCAGATATGTGGGCAAGACTTAGGCGACAGGGATCTCTCAATCAAGTCAGTCAGGTTCCAAAACTGAGGTTCCAGAAGAATTCAGGGCCCTCCACAAGCTTCTGCCTCTGGAGTCACCTCCTGAAATTCATCCTCCTAGAAGCGAGAATGAGAGTCGGCAATACATTACACACCTGGCACCTGCACCCAAACAAATATTAAATTCCAAGCAATGCAGAACCAACTGTCGCAATAAAGCCCATCCCAGAAGAGAACCCAAAGATAACTGGTTAACGACATGAACCACACTAAGGTTTTTTGCACGGAAAAGAACCTGCTTCTTTGCCAAAGCTGAGACCCAGAGCTTGGCCGACACTACAATCGGGAATAGCACCAAAATGGAATCTGACCACGCCAACGACCCGCACATCATAGCCCTCAGAAAAAGCACCAAAACCAACTGAGCTGCAGCCTCGGTGAACAGCTCAAAGGCAAAGTTAGACACTGTTTTACTGTGCCAAAATGTCTGACCATTGTAACCCACGAGGAACAAAACTCCAAACTCCCAAAAGGCAAGTAAAGTTAAAAGATAGATGAACACCAACCACAGCCAAGGAAAGTCAGTGACTGAAAGCACGCCCCAGGGGCATGACTTACAGCCAAAATTCAAATGGCCCTGTAGGGATTGCAGAATTCAAATAGCCCAATAGGGAGCCCCCTAGATATGACAACCTGAAGCTTAGTCTCCGGCAAGTGAAACACTTTATTAGCCAATGTATCTAAATCCCCAGGAAGAAAAATCGTACTAGTTGGAACCCCAAAATCCGCCACAACCCTATGAAAGTGGAACAACAAGTCCATACAAACCTGAGAACCCCGACAAGTGCAGAAAGAGATGGACAAACCACTACACTGTGAGGAATTAGCCAGACTCACAAAACAAGAAGTCGTTGAGATAGTGAAGGAGGGAAGAACAGCCCGACACCCACGCCACGATGCATTCCAACAAGGAACTGAAAACTTCAAAATAAAAACAACAAATCGAACAACCCATGAGAAGGCACATGTTGAAGAAAAATCACCCTGAAACTGATACCCCAACAAATGAAAACAATGTGGGTGACCTGGCAGGAACCGAAAAGCCGACTGGATATCAGACGTCGCCAACAGGGCTCCGGGTCTTACTCCACAAACCAAATCCAAAGCCCGATCGAAAGAAGCGTATCGCACGCGACAGTCCTCCTTTGAAATCCCATCGTGAACCAAGGACCCTGACGGATAAGACAGATTTCCGCCATATGCCACAGCTCCACCTCCTTCCCTAGCTCAGCTGCCAGGACCCCCTCCTTACCCCGAACCGAGGACAGGTTAGGTGCAATGACACCTCCCCCGATGGAGTAAATGGGAACGCCTGAGACCGTGAGAGCCACAGCACCTGTCTTTCTGCCCTCAATGGCGTTGTCTCCCCGAGGAACGTAATCCTTGGACGCCGACATCGGGCGAGGTTTTCACCTATTAAAACAACGGATGGCTGGGTGAGCCCCACCACAGTAGGAGCACTCATGCTTAAACCTACAACTGCTGTACCCTCTGCAGTGGCTCTCGTTAAAGAGCCAACAAATGCCCTTCTTGTGACCCGCCGATGCTCCTCCAGAAGTGCCAGCGGCCGACTGACTACAGGAATTAATGAGAAGTAACCATAGGTTTCCGTCTTGCACACCGAAATCTAAGTTTGGCCTAACCGCTGTATTTTTTTATTTTTTTGTTTAAATTTATTATTTTTATTTTTTCTAAACTGCTGGTCGTATTTAAACCAGCATTGCCCCCTGTACACCTTATAAGCCCCCCAAATCAAGTCCAGATGCAAATAACAGTGACTGGGCCTTTTCCGGAAACCTAGCTGATAAGATGCTATCTTAGGTAGCAAATCCCTGCAACCAATTCCCAAAGGTATGGGGGAGCTGCTTACCTTTTCGCCCTCAGCTGCGTCACACAGTCTATCCGCCGACTCCTTGTCAAATGGTACCAAGGATAGTAGGTCCACATACACACCCTTAAAGGACCACTCTAGGCACCCAGACCACTTCAGCTTAATGAAGTGGTCTGGGTGCCAGGTCCAGCTAGGGTTAACCCATTTTTTTAATAAACATAGCAGTTTCAGAGAAACTGCTATGTTTATAATGGGTTAAGCCTTCCCCCTAATCCTCTAGTGGCTGTCTCATTGACAGCTACTAGAGGCGCTTGCGTGCTTATCACTGTGATTTTCACAGTGAGAGCACGCCAGCGTCCATAGGAAAGCATTGTAAATGCTTTCCTATGAGACCGGCTGAATGCGCGCGCAGCCAGCCGGCGGGGAGGAACAGAGGAGTAGAGAAGGAGAGCTCTCCGCCCAGCGCTGGAAAAAGGTAAGTTTTACCCCTTTTCCCCTTTCCAGAGCCGGGCGGGAGGGGGACCCTGAGGGTGGGGGCACCCTCAGGGCACTATAGTGCCAGGAAAACGAGTATGTTTTCCTGGCACTATAGTGGTCCTTTAAGTATTTTTTTCTCTCACCACCAAAGACACATGTAACCCCAGGGGTGCAATGTACACAGACCGTTCCACCTGAAGTACTCACCTCACCTGTACCTGAAGGGGGAGCCTCAGAGAGAAGAGCATGTCCGCTGCCCCAATGGTCCCAGCAGGCGCCAACCGGCCAAGCGCTAAGCGCAGCAATTACACCAATTCTCCTTGACCCTCCCCCACTAACCCTGAGTCCCCCCCCTAACTCCTGCCAAGCGCGATTGCACTCCAACTCACGGTTCAGGAGAAGGGGTCTCTGTATCCCAGGCTCCAATTCCGGTCCTTCTTGCTGTGAGGGTTCTGCAGTCCGCCTGCCTGCTGTTCCGCCAGGGGAGCGGAGGCTCACACCCCCAGGAGTTCCAGTCCATCTATGCCAGGCATATGGAGGGGAATCCTCCCTCCCTTGTGCTCCTTGGCACTAGGGAGGGGTGCTCCTTGGCCTCTGGTCCAGAAGCTGGTAAGATCCTCCACCTGCATGTTACCACCAGCTGGCCTGCCCCACTTGCCGGGAGCCAGCTGTGCTTCTCCTCCGATTCCCCAGTCCAAGGAGCTCTGGGAATTCCAGATTCAGCGGGGGCCTGTGACGTTGCGAGATTTGCAGATGTCACGTACGCGCCCCCCAAGTTCCGGCGAGAGGCGCTCCACCTCTTCCTGCGTGCGGCCGCACACACCGACGTCACTTCCACAGCCACTGGAAGAGAAGGGTGAGGACGGTGGGACCTCACCTCGCCTCCGGCGCCATCTTGGGGACCGCCATCTTGCCTCCCAGGCCCAGCCCGGCCACCTCAACTTCTGCAGCACCTGCTGCCAATCCTCCACATCGCACTGCCTGCATCCTGCCGCCTGGAGCCAGCCTCACTCGGCCCCGGACCCTCTGGCGGTACTCCGACCCTGGACCTCCGCACTGGAATGCAGTCTGGAAAGGTGGGCCTGATGTCCACTCCTGGTCTGCACCTCCTGCACCGACCCCTCCTAAGTAGCCTGCTTGCCCTGGGCACTGTGGAGCAGCGAGTTGAAGGATTCAGCCCCATGGGTCCTCTGGAAGGCCTGCAATAGGGCAAGCAGTGCCTCCCCAGATACAGCAGGAGTGTGGGCCATCTTGTACTCCCAGTAGAAGGTAAAAGTAATTTCTGTCTTTTTTGTTTTTAGGAGAAACAGCACTGTCAGGTTTCCTCAGGGAGGGAAACTCAATTTAATAAAGTAATTTATACAGGGACTACCAGAGGAAAGCCACTGCTATGTCCCTCAGCATTGTTCACCAGTAGTCTGGTAATTTGTGCCAGAACTCCATGCTTTCAACTGTAAAACCAACTGTATCCTTTTGGTTACTATGCCAACCCCTCAGGGCAGTAGTCATGCTTCCCCCTACCTCTTCGCTCCGGGGGTTGACCTTGAGTGCAGGTAAGACACAGGTTTGATATAACATAGACCCCAGTCTTGCAGAGAGGGTCGTAAAGAGTGGGTGGAGAGAGAGAAAACAAGCAAACAGTGCAGAAGATGGCGCTAGAAGGAGCCCATACACATAAATACATGAACACACTTACATATATATTCACACAAACACATGTACTTGTATATTGATAGCATAAACATATTGGAATGCCTTTTAAAATGTTGATACATATGATAGAACAGTAAGATAATGTGGGGGAGTGTTCATGTAAAGTGTTCGTAGTGGGACAGGAAGCCCAAATCAGTGTTTAGTCCTCTATTCTTGCTGTTAAACAGTTTAATCATTCTGGCTTGGTTTTTCTTTCTTGGGTATTTTTAAAACCCC